AACTGCAACAAAAAAAATAGCCAGGTGTTGTGGTGGGTGCCTGTAGTCCCAGCTACTTGGAAGGCTGAGGCAAGAGAATCACTTAAGCCCATGATTTTGAGGTTACTGTGAGTTGTGACGCCACGGACTCTACCAAGGGCGACATTAGTGACACTGTCTCAAAAACAAAGAGTTTGGGATGATTTCCTGCTCAAGTTTTGGAACACTGTAAGTAGGATTGGTATTCTTCTTTGAACTCTGTAGAATTCAGCACTGAAGCCACTGGGTTCTGGCCTTTTGTTTGATGCAAGACTTTTTATTACTACTTCTACTTTGTTGTTATTCGTTTATTCATGTTTTGGATTTCTTCCTGGTTCAATTTTGGTATGTTGTATATTTATTTTTTAGACAGAATCTCACTGTCACCCTACCGTGGTGTCAGAGTTCATTGCAACCTCAAACTCTTGGGCTCAAGCAATCCTCTTGACTCAGCTTCCTGAGTAGCTGGGACTGCAGGCACCCACCACACCCTGCTAGGATTATAGGTTACATGCATAAGTTATCATGGCCAGCCTCTTTGTCAATTTTCTGTCTAGATCATCTATCCAATTGTGAAAACAAGTGTTGAGATCTTCCAACAATAACTATATTGGTGGGGACTCTATCACTCTTCTTAGCTTTGGTAATATTTCCTTTATGTATCTGAATGCTCCACTGTTGGGTACGTACATATTCAGGATTGTTATGTATCTTGCTGAATTAACGCCTTTATAATTATTTAATGACTTTTTTTTTCAGTTTTTGCTTTGAAATCTATTTTATCTGATAGAAATAAACCTGCTCCTGCTCTTTTCTGGTTTCCATTTACACGGCCTATTTTTCTGCTCTTTATTTCCAGTCCATGTCTCTTTATAGGTTTGGTGGGTTTTTATACAGAACATATAGTTAAGTCTTGCTTTGTCTATTCACAATCCATGTTGTTATTTTTTCTTTTTGAGACAGAGTCTCACTATTTTCCCCTGGGTGGAGTGCTATGGCATCACAGCTCACAGCAACCTCAAACTCTTGGGCTTAAGCGATTCTCTTGCCTCAGCTTCCCAAGTAGCTGGGACTACAGGTGCCTGCCACAATATCTGGCTATTTTTTATTTTTTTGGTTGCAGTTGTCGTTGTTTAGCAGGCCTGGGCTGAGTTCAAACCCACCAGGTTCACTGTATGTGGCCTGTGCTCTACTCACTGAGCTATAGGCGCCGAGCCTCCATGTTATTATTGATAGGTAAGGACCTGCTACTACCACATTGTTATTTGATTTCAGGTTGTTTTGTGATACAGATTTTCATCTTTGTTAGAGAATTTTTGTAGAAATTTTTCTTGAAATTTTTTTGGTGCCATTTATTCTTAGAATCATTTTAAAGGTTTTAAATGGTTGCTTTTTATACTTTTTACCAGTTTCTCAATAAAAAAAATTAAACACTCAAATTTTTTTTGACTTGAAAGCATTATTTGAAAATTTTACACTGAAAATATAATAGAATTAATCCCATCCATTTCATGATTAAAAGTAATGAAGTCATACAGTTAAAAGTTAAACAGTTAAAAGATGAAACATTTATCTTTTTAATATTAATATTTAACACCTGGAACTTTTACCCTTTGGCACTAATATTTAACACTTGATAAAAACCAATTTCACTTAAAATGACTGGCAATGTCATATATGTGACAAACTTTAGTCTCTATTTCAAAAACTTATACCAATAATCCTATAAACCCTTGAGAAAATTTAGCTCATTTGTACTACAGACCTGGCCACATGTACATATAAAAATTGATTGGGCATAATGTGAAAAGAGGCATGGAAAGAGTTTTATTTCAGTCACTTCAAAATACAAGCAAGCTATTATTATTCCTTTGGAGGAAGAATCAGGAAACAATAACTATTATCACAATTTCCGGTTATGTATTACATAATCTAGGATGAATGACTGTGGCATTTATTATTTTTTTTAGTTATTACATTCTTTTACATTAAGTCTAAAATTAAATCTTAGAAAAAATTTTGTTGTTACAAAACGCTGGCTATTTTTTTTTTTTTTTGGTTGTTACATTCTTTTACATTAAGTCTAAAATTAAATCTTAGAAAAAATTTTGTTGTTACAAAACGCTGGCTATTTTTTTTTTTTTTTTGGTTGTAGCCATCATTGTTGTTAGGTGGGCCTGGGCTGGATTTGAACCCGTCACCTTAGGTGTATGTGGCTGGCGCCTTAGCCACTTGAGCCACAGGTGCCGAGCCCATAATAGTTTTTTATCAAGGTTAATTTTTATGAAGCTTTCAATTTAAAAAAAGAAAAACACTTGTGTATTCAGTAGGGAAGAAACAATCCTGTTTATTAACCTTACTGCATATTCAGGAAGGATTAAAAAACTCACACATTTTCTGGGACACAAAACTGTACCAAAAGTATTTCCTTACAAAATAACTTCACAGATCAATATTCTTGAACAGACACAAAGACATACAAACTGACATACATTAGCTTGAATTAATGCACAATTCAAATGTTTTTGCAGCCAGCAACTTTCTACGAGAAAGTGCACTAACATGAGAGTGTATGTTTCCTTAACGCCTTAAAAATAGTAATAAAAAATTACAAAATAATGTAAATATAGAATTAAGGCTGAGACTATATAATCTAGTATTAAAGTCAAACAATACTTATAAAAATTGATGCTGCTGGATATTATATATTTGTATATATATATAGGATAAGTCTTTAGTTTTGAAATGCTACTGTTGTCACAAGTTCACTCATCAATTTACTGTTTTTCTATCTTAACATGTCAATTTCCAGATACCTGTGCTTTTTAAATTTTTGTCCTGAATTCTTCATTGAGCTTCCTCATATATTTACAATTAAATATCTAGCCTCTAGACCCTTCCTTACACAAAAGACAAAACATCTTTCTTAAATAAATTCACACAAAAGTAATTAAAAGGTTTTCAAGAAAGAGGTCTAACGTATTTGTTATAATTATACTGAAAAATAGTACGTATACTTTTCTTCAGGATTAATAAAAGCTATATGCCAATTTTACAGTCACAGCACAGTTTCCTCTGACACATTTGCAAGATGACAACCAAAGGGCACAACGACTGAAATAACTCTAGAAAGTCCATTCTGTCCAGTGAGATTCATAAAATTGAATGTTGCTTCCAGTCCCATCTGGATGAACATGAAAATTCATGACCAGATACTTGTATTGTCCCCAGAAATACTCAGTCTTGTGAGTCACTTTCTTGGTCTTCTGAAACAAAGATGCAGAAGGCAGGGCATTCTTAGTGAGACCAATGGCCCCCTCTTACCACCTTTCACACATCTGTTTTGGTTATAATCCTGGTCAAAGTGGGAAAAAACAGTAAGTTTTATGTACCAAAGGTTTCTTTACCTGAACTCCCTCATCATACCTGGAATGCTTAAATATTCAGTGAAACTATGCTCTATTAATTATAATTCTTGATAGAAACTTATTTAATTAAAGCCTTCTGTAGAATCATTTACATTATATGTAATCCAAAAAGTCTCAAAAGCAGTAATGTGTGTGTACACGCGCGTGCACAGACACGTATACACAGCATTAACGTAGATAGCTTGTTCCATAGTTTGTTGGAATGGTATCTCAGACCCCAATTCTGCAGATTTCTGCTTACTTTCTACCCTTCCCTTAAATGAAATTACTATTTTAAGAACTATAATGCTTATTACAAAAAGTCACAAAATACAAGCAAAGGGGGAACTATTTTAAAATATCCATAATCTCGATTATTCACATAAAGATGAACACAGTGAACACTTGGCATATAGCTAGCTTTTTAATTCAGATATACCTAATATTATTACTTTTTTCTTT